ACCCCAAAACCCCAAAACCCCGTGAGTCATTATTCAAATAATATTAGAATAAGTAAATTGAAATTAATTCTATACTATTATGGATAACTCGAGTACGACAATCTCCTCAGAATTGCAAGATTAGATTGACTCTGGACCAAATAGTATTAACGATAAGAATTAAAATTTAAATTTAGGCCCCGAAATGGATAAAAATTTTGAGATCGAAAATGAATTGAGTCTTATTGATCAAGAAACTAGGGATGACTAAGAATGTTAACAGCTATTATCAAAGTTTGAATAGTCATCACTTGAAGAGGATATAGCCAAATAAAATTATAGGTAGATGACACGAACGCAGTGGTATCTAAGTCTCTACAAAACATACGATCCTACTTTCATAAATGTTATGACTCTCTCATATTTCATACAAGGCTTCAAAACATTTATTGACTTATCCGTTCTCGATTTATTCAAATCATATTTGCATCTCTAACCAGCTGAAATGCAAATTCTTACTTCGATTATCAACATTCCGTGGAGTATTAAGGTTGTGTATGGAATGATTGCAGATAATTTACCATTATTCGGATCTAAAAGAAAAAATTATATAGCTTTAAATGGTTTACTCTAATTCATAGTTCTTCTCCCACTTATCCCAGAATGGATTAATAACAAATATATTATAACTTTCTTTTTGACATTCTTTGCTGTAAATATAGCATTTAATGACGCCATGATCGATGCTCTTATGGTTATGTAAGCAAGAAAGGATCCTTTTTACGGTTCTTAAAATTTAAACAGCTTCACATGGACTTGGCTATCAATTGGAGGCATCACTGGATCAATCAGTGCAGGATTCCTAACTTAGTATCTCAATCCTCATATCAGCTTTACTATTTGTGGAATATTGGGATTAATGATTATGACTCTATCAATAATGATGAATAAAACTGTTGAATAAGAAAATTAAGGTTAATAAAAGCCTGCAAACATGAAGGACTTCAAAAAGAATATTGTGAGAATCAAAGAAGCATTGGCTACTCCTCAAATCTATAAAACATTAGCTTACTTTATACTTTGTGGCACTTTAGTGCCTAGTTTTGGCGACGTTAATTATTTCTTCTAATTAAACGTTTTACAATTCAGTAAACTGACCTATAGCATGCTTACACTCCTGTAATATATAAGTTTACTAATAGGAACTATGATTTACAACAAATTCTTTTAAGAATGGGAGTTTAGGACACTTCTTCAGCTAAGTCAGTTATTTTGTTTATTTGGCGCAGGTATGAATCTTTTAACTGCATTAAGATTCAATATTTAAATTGGAGTAAGCGATCTAGTGTTCGTGTTAATTAATCGAATGTTCTCAGATACTCTAGCACTTGCATTTAGTTTGCTTCCAACAGTAGTTATCTTCACTTAAATCACTCCACATCATATTGAGGCAACTATTTTTGCAACTCTCACAGGTGCTTTTAATTTCAGTCAAAGTGTTGGAGCACCCTTACTCGGATCAGTATTTTGCAAAATAGTTGGTGTAACTTCAGATGATTTAAGCGGATATTCTAAACTTCTCCTTATATAAATCGCGGCTATATGCTTGACGTTCTTTTATATTAATTTAGTACCAACTAGAAAAGAAATTGATGAAGCATAGAAGAGAGAAAAGGAGAAATTCGAAAATGAAACAAAGGAGATGATTATTGAGTGAGAAATATATGCTCCTTATAAATATTAGCTTAATCTAGAAACATTAGTTTTAATAAAATGAAAATTTAATGCTATTAAACGTATTTTAATAATATTTTAAGTTTTAATTCAAAGGATAATATCATCATTTATGGGGTTTTGGGGTTTTGGGGTTTTGGGG